CCCGGTTGCGGGCGACGCGGGTACAAAACACTGGTCGCAAAAGATCGGCAAAGTCCTCGATGCCCGAAGTCGAGGGGGGCTTCCGGAAAGTCAACTCCCAGCCCGGATCCAGGCGGGGCCCCGTACCCAACGAGGGAAAAGTCCCGCACGCGAAAGTCCGCCAGTCGGCATAAAGCCCTCGAACACGCAGAGGCTTCTCCGGGAAACAAATTGACCATGTGGCCCCCCGACAGGGGCCGGGAAAGTCGTCAATCACCGAGGCGTGTCGCCGACGGGGGGCGTCTACGGGACAAAAGAGGGCCCCCGTCAGGGGCCCGAAGGGGTGCCCAATGATTCGGGCCCGCGGCGAAGGGGTCTCGAGGATCGATGGGAGGGAGGGCCCCGTGCCAGGCGAGGGGGATCTCCCGCACACGAAAGTCCGCCAGTCGGGAGAAAGCCGCCAAACACAGAGGGGCTCCTCCGGGATGAACAGAGGGCCCTTTTGCCCCCCGACGAGGACCGGAAAAGTCGTCGAGCATGGAGGGGTGTCGCCGACAAGGAGCTCCAGCGGGACAAAACGAGGGCAAGATGGGGTGCCAAATGATGTGGTCAGGGGGTTGATGGGAGGCTATTGGGCACAATGAGGCGCCCGGTGGGTTGTACGAGGGTGGGGTACGAAGGCGGGTGATGTCGAAGGCAGGAGAAGACTCGAATAACACCTCAGGGTGTCGAGGGGCCTCCGGGGTCAAAAAGGGGATATTAGAGGCCCAAAAGGGGCTCAAAAAGGTGCCAAAGGGCGCCAAAAGGCAAAAAGGAAGACCCTTACGGGCTGAAAACTCTGGGACGAATTGGCTGCGATTTTTGGCTGCGGTTTGGGGTTCAGGGTGTAGGGTTCAGGGTTTAGGGTGTAGGGTTCAGGGTTTAGGGTTCAGGGTTCAGGGTTCAGGGTGTAGGGTTTAGGATTCAGGGTTTAGGGTTCAGGGTGTAGGGTTGTAGGGTGTAGGGTTTGGGATTCAGGGATTAGGAGTTTAGGGTTTGGGGTTTAGGGTTTAGGGTTTAGGGTTCCGGGTAAATCGAAAATCGCGAAAATCGAAAATCGCGAAAATCCAGGTGGCAAATCGAAAATCGCGAAAATCGGG